CTTCTATTTGCTAAGATATCACTTATATATAGTGAATCAAACACAGTGGCCCCCCACCCACCTCTTTCCATTTTAGGAAATGCTCCCTTATATACACTTACTTCTATATACGAGATGAATAACCATTCAAAAGCTCAAAATGTCCCTCTAGTGGTTTTCTCAGTCAGACGTGTTAATCTCGTTCTTTTCACACCAGATTTCAAAGGACAAGGTAAGTCTTTAGTGAGCTTGAAATTTCACATTATTTTAGACCCAAACACAGCTTAGTTACTATGCTTGAAAAATTATAGTGGAATTCTATGGTATAGATATGATAACTTATGATTTTTTATTTTTTTATTTAAAATGTATATATAAAACCTAAAAAAAGTTTTCTTTTCACATCCTCCACATGGGAAATTTCAGAAGGCTTAGCAGCCTATGACAAGCAGCAACAAAGGTTGTAACTGGAACTGCTTTACTTCTTTATCTACTGTTCTATATTTTAAGAAAAATACATTTAAGAACTTATTTATATAATTCAAATTTGACTGCATTTTACAAAATACTAGTCCACTAAAACACAGCCAAGACAGGTCACTTGGTAAAGGCCAGTTTAATATTATTGGATACGGTATCACAAGTGCTGAGTCATTGTAACTTCTAGATTGTTAGCGACGCATGGCTGAAAGGTCAATATAATAAAAATATTAAATATATATAAATGTAAAATGTTATGAGATTTAAGCTATTTAGACTAAACATTTGTGTTTTCGTGTTACAATCTGTAGGCATTCTAGAACAAAAAAAGCATAGTTTAAATTTATTTCCTAATTTTTTATGGTGGTTACGAGGCCGGTCAAATTGACAGACCCCATACAGTTAGGGTACAGAAAATAACAGAAACAATATGAAGTTTTACTGCAAAACAAACATTTGAAATGTATTTAGGAGGTTATTTTAGAGATTAAACCAATAATATTTAAGATTTTTGGGATGAACAATAGTTTTTTTAGTTATAACAAGAAAAATCACTTTGACACTCGGCCGGAGCCAAGTATTACCAGGTAACCAAATAACTGGTCAGGGCCAATATGTGCCTGATACCTCTGCATCCCTAGCATAAATACTTAACTCATGTATATTATACTGAGCCCATCATAAAAGGGTTGAGAGATATTTATTTAGGATTAATTTTATTCCACTGAATTCTAGGTTTTACTATTTGTCATTAGTTTTTAATGCTATCTTATTTTTTCTAATATTATGATTTTTCTTTTAAATTTTGTTGAATTATATTCTTTCTTTTATATATAATCCACTTTAATATACTTTAACTCCAACTACCCAAATTAATTTATGTAGATTTGCTTTTAGTTCATTCTAGCATTTTAGCATCTATATTACTTTACATGTACAAAGACAATTTTTAATAGTTTTTCCATAAGTAAGCAATATATTTTGATTTTAATAATTTCAGACTAATATTCCATCTTTCTTTTACAAATAAACCAACAATTCTTACCCTCTAGAAGTGTCTTTGGAATGTTCACGAATGAAGGTTTCTGACGAGGAAGGTGCTGTGCACACAACTGCAAAGTAAAATGTTAAATTTAGCACCTTCTACTTAGAAAGAATCTAAAAACATCATACATTTTATAAAGTTACTTTATTTAGTCTGATTCAATGCAGTTTTCACATAAACACATGGTATAGAAAATTGTTCAGTTGTTTCAATCTACTTACCTTTGTTTCTTTGCTATTCTCTAAGAGATAGTATCTACTTTGCCCACGGGAATATTTCTGCAACTTGACATATTAATTAGGAGAGGTCATCATTTGCAATGTTCTTTACTGGACAATTAGATAATACCTAGAGGTTATAGCTTTTGTATGTTGTAAAAGAATGACCAGTCACATCATAACTTATGGGCAAAATGGAGATTTCCTGCTTGTTACAGAGTTATACTTGGTTCCTGAAGTGAGCCAACTGACAGAATATAACTGTTGATTGATTCACTGATCTGGTAAGAAAGTGAACATCTAGTGTGCTCTTAGCATTTTAAATAAAGATTGTATTATACTTTACACCATATGTTCAGCCTACTTTTTTCTTGGATTACATCAGTCATATAGTTCATTTCAGATTTCCTCTATAATTATTCTGAATAAATCTCCTGTTACAAAAAGGATACATCTAGTACTCCTGTGGAAATTACTTTATCCTGACAATACCAGAGTAGGCAGGACAAAGAAACTTTAGTGCCTTGATCAGGAGATATTTAATAATTTTCTGTCTTTGCTAACATGCAATATGAATATACGAGTTTAAAGTTTAAACTCAAAGAATGGCTAATTCTCAAAATAGAAGTAGATGCACTGTAGATGGAGAATTTGCCAATGGAGAGAGAAGGTTGTACAAGAGGAATGTTGAGTCTGGAGAAAGTCGTCTCCTAAAGATAAGACTTTTGCCAAAGCTGCTAAAGTCCTTGGCACTGATCAGCCCACAGAATAATCAGCTGATGCCTGGTGCACCTAGAGTAATAGATCAAACCATGCTTCTCAGTATCAATCTTGGCACAAGTTAAGTGAGTATAACTGACTACCAGTGAGATGGTATTGCACCTGGTAAGTCTGACAACACTTGGAGAAGGTCTCTACTATAAGGCTCCCAGGCTAATGCCAGCCAGAGTACTACAGTCCCAATTATAGTTAAAACCAACAACAACCAGCATAAAAGGACTGGAATTGCTACTGGTGGATAATCTCTACCAGTTAGAGTGATTTTCAAGGCAAATGAGACAATGGGCAGCCATGACTAGAGACCATGAACTACGGAGTAGTGAGTTTCTCTGAGCTGGGAGGTATCCTACAATGATGACCATTGTTCACAGCAAAATCTGGGATCATCTAATGTTTAAAGAAGTGCCAAAAGAATACCTGGACCAGTTCTTGGAACATTTGAGGCAGTTCAATGCTTGATTTTGAGCTTGGATGGTACAACCCTGGATGCCAATTACCTGATCAATGAGCAACAAGAGTTGTGCCACGAACTTGAACCTCTAGAAAATCAAGTGATTCACTGGGCTGAGTTCAAGGCTTGGAAGAGAATCAGAACTGAGTCTGACCACTTAGACAAACAATCTGCACCAGTTGCATAGTAATGCCAACCCTGCAATGGCAACAGCAGATCAAGAGAACATACCTGTCGACAATTTCAGTAAAAAAACTTTCCAGTGAAGGTACCACCTGGGTGTGAAGGACATCCTCACATTCACAGATGCTATTTCTTTCACAACGTGATGTGAATAAGTAGCTTCATCCAGTTGTTATAGGGTAAAAGACTCATAACAACAGCTGCTATGTTTTACCTCAAATGGACTGATCTAGTTAGACACCTCCACCATGTTGAGTGAGAGTCGTATAGAGAATTAGCCAACCACCCACACATCTCACAACTGTGATGCAATTACAATAGTTTCTAGTGATGGGCAAGACTATCCAGGTCTATCCTTGGGGTACATGCCACAGCCAGTGCTGATTATGCTTTGTGGTCGGATGGGTGACTGGCAGATGAGCTGCCCAGACTTTGCTGATCAAGAAAAGTGGCAGTGCTATCAGTTCCAGTTGATGGATCAGCTGATGCTAGCCAACCCACAATGCTCTAATCTGCTGAGAAGTAGGCAAAGTTATTGGTACTGTCCAACATATCAGCAGGTCCAGAACAACAAGCAGCTAGAGATGGATGCTGTTGTAAATGCTTCAGATAATTGGAACCCACATCAGGTCTAACCACTAGGTTGGGGAGTACAGTAGACTGCTTGCACTAAACAGGATACAAGGGTGAGAGGTTGAGTTCCTGGCTGACACAGGAGCAGCCAGAACACCTGTGGACCTCATGATATATCAAGCCTTTAAATGAGACCACAACTCTGAGCAATAGATAGCAACTGGCAACAGACTAGACATTAGAGGAGAGGTACATCTCTGGTACTAAGAAGGTAGTCATCTTCAACATTGGATCTGGTACTGGCATCCTCAAAATGGACCCACTATGGAAATTATCCACCAGTTTCATTTCTGCAATTCACGAACTGATATTTTATGAGATATTTGTCCAATATCAACTATATCAACCCCAAGATCAGTGGACTACACGACTATATGCAGCAAGGGCAGAAAAGTACCTCCATATACACAAATGGTGTTCCATGGTTTACCAAAGAAGAAGTCTTGTGTGTCGGTACTATGTAACAGGATTACAGAAGTCACACATGAAATGAACTGTTCACCATTTAGAAAACAGGTAGCAATAGCTCAGATAGTCATCTGTCAAACTAGGAATAAAGTCTCAATGATGTTTTATAATTATGGGTGATCAGCTATCCAGATGTATGCTGGAATTATTATAGGTGCAATAAGCAAAGTGGAACTAGATGATGCTAGCAGTAATGCAAGGTTTGCATCCATTGCACAGCAACTGAAATCAAGCAAGTGGCTAACAACACATCTAAGGTCATTGGTTGAGGATTTGGCAAACAATCTAGACTCAATGCAGCAAAAATAATTCATGTTCATTTAATATGCCAATGTATTTTGTGAGACAAGATGGCCAACTGGGTCAAAAACAGTGACTTGGCACAACATAGATACAGGCAACACACATCCAGTAAAGCAACTAGTGTGACATTTTTCCTGGATCATTAAAAACATTACTTCATTTGGTAGAATAAAACTTTGGCTTTCTATTGGTTATAAATACTATAGTATTAAAAGTCAGAGAGAACTACTGGCAATTTGTGAAAGAGAGGATGTGACAGATGGGCATGGCAAGAGAGATCTCATTTTCTAGTTTATGGCTCTGTAACCAAATAAGATTGAAAGCTATAACAATTATGTTTTACCTGAGCAATAACTACATTATGAGTGATCTACATTGAATTCCAAAGTTATTGGAGAGGTGGTAAATAAATTAAAGAAGGAAGCCATAGATAACAAGTATCACAGTTCTCATACTAAGGGAGATTGGGGTTTGTTTTTTTAATATTTCCTTATAAAATTATGAACTTAAAACCTAAATAATATTAAAACTTAATTTATTAACAAAGTTTTGATGCCAAGTTTATTCGTATGTATTGATAATAAAGTACTTTAATTAAATTTTGAATGTACTCAGTAAAACCTTGTGACATGCACAGAAAAGGATGCCCATATGGAAAGAGTTAACATATACATTATTTGAAATTTATGTATTTTATTTCAGTTCAGTTTGTACACAGTCTCCCTCTGAAGCACACAATTTTCCTTTCTCTAGTATACACAAGACCCAGAACCATTAACTCGCATTTAGACATGTTTTCTTACAGGAAAGATAGTTTGTGACAGATGATTTTCTTTTTTCATCAACCACCCAAATAACGGCCAGGGACTATCAGACACTTGCACTTGGATTGCAGTGGATGAAGGTCACATGTGCAAGGTGCAGTTGTATTTACACTTGGCTTTGTGTTTAGTGTTTAAAGTAAAGTTTCTACCTGTAAGAGAAACTTTATAGAATTTATAGCAACTTAACTTTTGCTATTGTTAACTTCTACATAATTTTTATGATTTTAAGCATCTGGATTATAGTTTAATTTGGGTTATTTTGCTTAGGGAGTGGGGGAGGCTCATACTGTACTGGTAAGAAAAATCTATTAAAGGTTTCTCCACTCTTCTCTTAGCAGTTCAATAAATCCACAATCTCTTTGTTCATTTCCATGTCATTCTGGTGTTCCAAGCATTCCACTACTAGACATGGCCATGATGGTAATTAGCAAGTTGGCACTAGAAAACATCCTTGTATCAATACATTCTTATCCTGCCTGCAAACAGCCATGCAGGTGGCCCATATTTGTTTGTCCTGCATACAAGAAACACATAGCAAACCTGCTTTACAGGGTAATTTAGGCCAATAACCAATAAAGAATAGTGTAACTAGCTGTTTTTCTGCTCTAGCCCTATAAAACAGATGTATATATGATGCTTGTATGATGTCAAGAAACTTTATCTATATTTTGTAACATACAAAAATGTGGCTTAAATTATTTTCATGATTATAAACAAGAATATAACAAAATTACTTACACTTATACATTGCTTTCTATTTTAAATCTTTGTAACAGATAGCTCAGATATGAAAGCTCATTTCTATTTTTAACAATTACTTACCTATATTAAATAAGATTCTCTAAACCGATTTCAATATATAAAAATGAGCTAAAGAAGATAGTGGGAATTTCTTTTCCAGTGAAGTGATGATTTTCTCAATTCAATAATATTGTTTTTCTTATTCTAATTAATGTAAACATTTCTAAGTATGAGACTGTTTCTGAAAAACACCCAACTACACAAATGTTTTTAATAAAAATTTTAGTATAAGTCTTTGTTTTACACATCTGTAAACTTTCTTACTCTAGACTTCTGTATGTTACAAATAACTATTTAATGCTTATGATACAATAAACAACTAAATACTAACTGATATTACTTTCATTTAGGGGTGCTCACACTAAACTAATAAGAAAGAACTAATAAAGGTTCTCCAATTCCACAC